TAACGTCATTATTAACTGATATTTACTTTGAAAGGTGAATGAAGCTGCGATTATGGTAAGGGTTACATTTCCGACGCGTGCTTGTGGTGTTTGGCCAATCACAATGCACTGGGTCAGTTGGCCAATCAGAGCAGACTGCGCTTGTCGGAAGGAGGGACTTTGTAGAAAACGAAGCGTTTGAGAGAGGCGGGGCATAGAGGACCTACAATAATGTACAGTATTTGAAAAATAATGTGTTTTTTGAACATTAAAGCATGTCAACATATTCTGTTACACCAAATACACAAAATAATGATCTTTAAAAAAGCATCATATGACCCCTTTAAATATTTTTTAAACCAGTCGCTTCTGCTCACCAAGGCTGCATTTATTTGCTCAAAAATACAGTAAAACACTAATATTGTGAAATATTATTACAATTTACAATGTTAAAAAACATTTGTGCTGCTTCATATTTCTGTGGAAACCATGATACATTTCTAATTTATTTTCTATTTCAAATAAATGCTGTTCTTTTGAACTTTCTGTGAATCCTGAAAAATAAACTGCATCACGGTTTCCACACAAATATTGAGCAGCACGACTGTTTTCAACATTGATAATAATCAGAAATGTTTGTTGAGCAGCAAATCAGCATATTAGAATGATTTCTGAAGATCATGTGACACTGAAGACTGGAGTAATGATGCTGAAAATACAGCTGCGCATCACAGAAATACATTACAGTTTAACAGATATTCACATAGAAAACAGCTGTTTTAGATTCTAATAATATTTCACAATTTTTACAGTATTTTTGAACAATAAATGCATCCTTGGCGAGCAGACTTCTTTATAAAACCCATAATCCTCAGAGGAGACTCACGGTGATGTGCAGACGGCTGAAGGTGTCTCTCATGTGGTTCAGAAAGTCCGGCAGAAGCTCCAGCAAACAGGAGGCCAGAAAAACCCCGCAGGCCAGACACGACGCCAGACTCAAAACCCTGTGCCGAGAGCCTTGAAACACACAGACTTCATTAACATACCACAGTCATGAGAAAGTTCCTATTTTAGTTTTTTGATACTAGAGTGAAATGTGAGCTTCATCATCCTCATCAGACCTGGATCTGAGCTGAAGCGTGTGGCTCGTCTCATGACACACACAGGACTGAACCCACACAGCAGACTGGAGCCCAGCATCAGCACCAGTGTGAGGAGCTTGATGTGAAGAAGCCCAGGAGAAACACCTGAGGAGTCCATCACCTGCAGCACACCTGAGAACACCATCATCATCATCACGTGCTGAACGTGCTGAACACTGACACACTTCACCACAGTTCAGCAGGGCTTACCAACACACACACTGCAGCTGGTGATCTGAGTTCCTGAGGAGTCCATCACCTGCAGCACACCTGAGAACACCATCATCATCATCATCATCATCACGTGCTGAACACTGACACACTTCACCACAGTTCAGCAGGGCTTACCAACACACACACTGCAGCTGGTGATCTGAGTTCTGTGTTCTTCAATCTCTTCTAGTCTAAACTTCTGTCAAACAAACGCGCTTAAACTAAACTAACCGGGCTTTAAGCGTCCGCGAATGACTGCTGTTCGCACACTAACGAGCTTATTTTCTAGAAACCCGGTGTTTTGTATATATCAGATGAGCACTCGAGCTTTAATCGTGGCTGTTCGCTGAGGTTTGTTCCAGTATGTGCTCCGCTTCTTTTCCTGTTTTCGGAAAACTGACGGTGAGTCACCTTCTCCGAATCTGATTCAGTTCAGTTCAGTGAACGAGTCGGTTGTCTAAATGATTCAGGACTCATTTGCTGATTTCGGCATCGCATACTAGCAAACTGCTCTTACTATTTTTCATCACATCTTTCTAAAGCAATAATAGAAAGAGTAGGATGCGAGTATTCGGTTCCGAATTCAACATAGCAACTCAATTGATTCATTAAAAAGATCCAGCTCGAAAGAGCGAGTCATTTGCGAATCGGGTATCAATATGAGTCACAGCTGTCCACAACTTGTCCAAACCTGCACAAGGAACATCATAAGCATGAATGAAATGCCTGTAGCCAGTGATTATTATTATATACCTTTTAGTACTGCTGCTGGACATTAGATGCATAACACGAAACATTATGTAAGCAGTCCGAGTAGAATTCCATAAACATAATCAATAGTTGAGATCGATACTAGTGAAGAACAATCGATTGTTTTGGAAGTTGAGCACATATCAAAGTCTTTATGAGTCATTAACAACACAAAAAAAAACTAAAGTCACTTTTCCGTGCTCTTCTATATTATTTTTACTCATGGCTGGTAATAGAAAATCCTCCCCATCAATCTCTATAAAATGATTACAACTTATGTTTACGTAACCACAAACGAATCTGATTGGTCCATCCGTAGCAGTGCGGAGAAAAGTAACAGGTATCACGTGACCTCGCCGTGTACGTAATTCTTTTTCAAACGTCTAAAACATAATTTACACCTGAATAGCGACAGTGAGGAACTTTAATACACATCTAAGTGAAAACAAACAGTCAAAGGTTAACGTAGAATAATTATTTTATTTTTATCTCTTCGTACGCGTGACGCGCTATTGGTCAGCGTCTCTCCAGAGCCCCGCCCACACGCTGAACGCGGATGTGAATTACACCGAATCAAATGAACCAGAAGATCCGGGTCCGCACGGAGAAATATCCGCGTTTGCTCGCAGAATAAACCGAACACGCGTGTGTGAAGAATGCGAGAAGCAGATATTGTGTCCGGGGACGTCAAATCCACCGAGCGAGTGAGTAAAACGTGCTGAAAACACCATAAGTGCATTTTGTTTACAGTGATTGACAGCTCAGCTTCACCTGACATACAGATCGGCTGTGGTTTACGCTGCTTCTGTTGCTGTAATCTGATCTAATCCTCATTTGTGTGCTCCACCTGTTTAATAACACATGCTGGTATTGTATGTGTCCTGTAATGCGAAACTAAACACGTAAATATCCGAAAGGATCTGCTGTGACAGACTTTATATGTGATTATCAGTCATTTTAAGTTGAGTTTAGTGAACTGGAGCAAAGCGTCTCTTATTCCTGAGCACAATGTCAACAATAAATCCAAACTCTTACCAGGATGTTCACATCCTCCTACAGAGAGAGAGAGAGAGAGACACAGAGAGAGAGAGAGAGACACAGAGACAGAGAGAGAGAGACAGAGAGAGAGACAGAGAGAGAGAGAGAGAGAGAGACACAGAGAGAGAGACAGAGAGAGAGGGAGAGAGACACAGAGAGAGAGAGAGAGAGAGAGATAGAGGTAGAGTTAATTGTTGAAGCTCCGCCTCCTCCTGGTCACGTGGCACTGAACCTGAGACAGACAGGCTGTTTACTTCTACACTGTAAAACATGTTTGTCATTTTTACAGAAAAATACTGTAAAAATAGCAAGATCCTATAGACAAACCCATTGTTTTTTCATGCACTGGTCAGTTTGGAGATGCTGGGTTATTTAGCTTTTCATAAAGTGTTTTTGTTTTTCAGAGTAGTGGAAAGAAAACATCCAAAATCCACATTTATGTGTTTGTTTTTTTATATTTTATTTATTTGTGTTTGTAGATTTCAATTCCAGTACATGTCACTAAAGGCTGTGGGTTTCTCCGTCACGTCGTCAGCTAAACTTGACGTGTTTTATTGTGTGTTGTGTCTGTTGTAGGATGCTGAGGAGGTTCTGGAGAGCGGCCTGCTCCTGGAAGAGTCCGGAATACTGTACGCTGGACTGGAGCGACACACGGAGGACTGGAGCGTCGAGCCGCGCTGTGTGAGTGAATGCAGGAATAATCCAACCAAAGATGAACGGAATCAAACCCATGACCTTGGTGTTGCGAGCACCATGATCTGCTGATTGAGTGCTGTCAGATATTCAGACTGAAGCGTCTCTCTCTGTGTTCCAGAGTTTGAATGACAGTGAATCTGAGGAGGTTCTGAACGCCATGAACCCGAACGAGATGTACACGTCAGCGGTGTGTGAGAGCGACAGCGGTCTGTCTGAAGATCAGTCCTCAGACGGAGCCCACGAGCAGAACCTCGGTAACGCCGTCTATCAGGTGGTGTATGACATCAGCGGTGTGGGCGGAGCCTCGGAGCAGGAGCCACCACAGACGGACGTGATCTCCATCGAGCTGGGTGAGCAGCATCATGGGAAATGTAGTTTCCCCCACTAATTCTGCTATTAAATATGATGTCAAAATAAGTTGAATTGATATTAACAGATGGGAGCGTATACCATTGACCACCATCTTCAGAGCTCACAGCAGGCTTGTCTCTAAAGGTTTGTCAGTCATTGATGTTCTGGGTGTGTGTGTGTGTTGTGATGAATTCGGCTCTAACAGGACTGATGTCTCACAGACTGAGGAGAGAATCCTGAAGAAAGTGAGACGGAAGATCCGGAATAAACTCTCGGCGCAGGACAGTCGCAGGAGGAAGAAGGAGTATATCGACGGTCTGGAGAGCAGGTGAGACCCAAACACACCTGTTCCCTTTCCTAATACACGTCCTAGTCTTAATGTTTGTGTTTCCTTTCCGGCTGACATCACTGAGGTATGTGTTTGCATGGCAGTGGTCAAATTACAGATGTTAAATGAGTTATGAATGTCTGCATTGTTTCTCATGAGGATGTGAGCTCATTTCAACATTTGCAACATTTTCTCCCTGCACCTGTGTAAAACTGCCTGGCCAAATTAACTACCGTCTTTTGACATACACCAAGGTCATGCGATAATTTAATTGCCATCCGAATCCACATCCACTTTGCAAGACGGAATTGATGCAGAAGTTGTATTGTAAATCCTTTTGCCATGCAAATTTATATTTGCATGTTTTTATAGAAAGAGTTACTGTCCGAATAGGGCAATAGTTAGAGCTGAACTCTGTATGTGTGTCTGTGTCTGTGTGTGTGTGTGTGAGTCTGTGTGTGTGTGTGTGTGTGTGTGTGTGTGTGTGTGTCTGTGTGTGTCT